ATATCTGCCTGGAACGAACTCCCAAGTTACTATTTGTTCTTGTGCTTTGCCTTGTAGAACTATTGAGCTTCCTGGCGCAAAACTGCTGGATTGGGATTTCTGTCTTATGGACGCCACGCCTAGCCGCCTGTCGGGCATTCACTCAGAGTTCATCGAAAGCCCCCGGCTAGACAACTTGGCATCGACATTCGCCGCCTTTGAGGCGCTGGTGGAGGCGAAGCAAAGCAAGAGCGACATTTTGATGGCTGTGGCGTTTGATCACGAAGAAGTCGGCTCGGAATCGCTTTCAGGCGCCAACTCTAACATCCTCGAGGTAGCATGCTGCAGTTTCTCGACGTCGTCATTTTCTTGTCTCCGTTGCTTCCTTGTGTCTCCTCTTTGTGCTAATGGGAAACGAGCAAACTGGCGCACCAGCTGTGGATGCTGTGAGACTTGCGGAAACTTTATATTTCTGTGAGGAAATACGAGGGAGAGCTGCAGAGGTTGCTGAGGCTCTTAACTGCACCGTTTGTTGCCTGGCATCGCTTACTTCTCGCATANGAGAGCTGCAGAGGTTGCTGAGGCTCTTAACTGCACCGTTTGTTGCCTGGCATCGCTTACTTCTCGCATACTGTGTGTGAAAACCGGCGAAGCTTTATTGCGCAGTCGACATATTAGCTGTTGCGCATCCTGACAGCCCTGACCTGAAACCAGACCAGCATTTTTATAAACTGCGGGGGAGAAGCGGCGCTCAAAAATGATACGGTTTCCATGGAAAGATTGAGACCAAGGATTTTTGTTTCGTTTGAGACTGAGCTGCTTGTGCGCAGACGTGGATGCGGAGGTCACTAAGGGCCCTTGAATGCGAAGATGACTTCTACGAAATCCTCGCGAAATCCTTCATCGTCAGCTCTGACATGGCCCATGCCGTACATCCAAACTACAGCGACAAGCATCAGTCACTGCACAAGCCTGCAATGCACAAGGCAAGTTTCGGGTGAATATGCCGTTCCGGCTACGTATTTCCATTTCGCATGGTTCTCCACTCTCTATGCGTATTTCGCTTTCCTCACAGTTTCTCCGCGTTTGATGCTTCACGAGAGTGCCACCCGGCCTCCAGTTCCTTTGCAGCGGAGCATGCATTCTGTTTTTGCTTATGCTTGTTGCCTCCCCTATTGTGGTATGCTATCACCTTGCAACGCTTCGAGTTACACCTGTTGGCTGCTGCAGGGTGTCGTCATAAAAGAAAATGCCAACCAAAGCTACGCTTCCAACGCATGCTCGATGTCCTTCGTTCGCGCAATTGCAGAAGAAGCAAATATTCCCCTGCAAGACTTCGTTGTGCGCAATGACAGCAGATGCGGCGGCACTGTGGGGGCCATGCTGAGTGCTCGTTTAGGTAAGGCGTCGTCTGGGAGGTTTTGTGGCAGCCTTTTATTGNAGTAGCTGCTTCCCAACACTGCCGTTATCTGGATGAGGATAAACCCCAGAAGAGAATCATGGCGCAGACGTGTCTGCTGATCCAATAAGAACGCTTCAGTTGTGGGGCGAGAAAGAAGGGATGCTTGTATTCCGTGCGTTGTTGGTGGACTGCAGGAGTGCGCACAGTGGATATCGGGATACCCCAGTGGGCGATGCATTCCTGCAGGGAAATATGCGGCGTTTCAGATTTGGTGCATTTGCAAAAACTCCTCAAGGTAATTAGATGATTTCTTCTGCGCAAAAATTGCATCACCTGGACAGCTTTTCTTGCCAGTCTACGGTTGGAGGTTGGTCGTCAGTTCCTGCATTTCTTCTGGATAGCAAGTTTGTATATACCATGGACCGATACGACATTGTTGCTGGACAGCATAAAAGCATCTATGTACTTTTTCAGTGGATGTACGCGGCTGCCGGGCTATGTGTTCTATACGCAAAGAATGACCCTTCGTTGGTTGTAAGCACCAAACACGGAACTGGTAAAGCAGCATGCGGTATGTTTCTCCCGTGCGCCTTCAGGCTATTTACTGTAACTTCCGTCGCTGGGATGACCGTAGTTAGGAGGAGGCGTCCCGGCGACATGAGTATGATAGATGCGGTCGACAGT